GAAGGAAGGAAGTAATCCTATTTCAACTTCTTTATTACAACCGTCACAACACAACTAATATCAAGATCAGTGTCTAGTCGTTGTTTACATTCCCTACAGAACGGCCAATACTTTCTAAGATGAGGCACCGACTAAATAATTAACAATAATATTATTACATCAACATCACGAGCCTCCAATACATTTTTTATATATACACAAAATATAGAATACTCCTCATGACCAGATATTTATTACTGTTTGGCATTTACGGTCTTGTTTTTGCGGAAGCCCTCTCTGATGAGAGGACGGATCTGCCTTTTGTATATGCCGCTGGCCCTTGCCAGTGCAGTCTTTCTCGGGTCTGAGTCCCTTGGGACTCGTGACCATATTTTACTGTCTCAGATAAGAGACTTCCCATTTCGTCGCCTCCTACGACTCGCAGGGTCACGGTGGAGGTATTCGACCCCGCCTCCACACGGGCTTTTATAACCGAACTAGTCTCTTGTTGCAGTTGGACTCTTATAACTTGCACTCGGACTCAGTAGGGAACACCTTGTCGAAAGGTTAACTCGCCCGCTGCTATCGAAATGCTGCCTCAAACAATTCGTGTGTAACGGTGGAAACTCCACTGTTAGGAATTGCTAGCGTTCTGGTTCCTAGCCGCTGTCGTGGGAACGCTGGTCGTTGCCTAGGAAATCAACTCTGATCTCCTCAAGCATTGCGGCTTTCTGGCGGCGTGCCACAATATTTTATCATAAAATGCGTTGGAATTTTAGCGGAAATCTTTTTAAAAACAAACCTCGTCAAAGATATATGCGGTCAGTAACTTATTCTTTTAAAGACGATTTACTAGGAAAATAGATAAGTAGGAATAAGATTATGCCGTGTTGCTATCTCGAGGGAAATTATTTCGGAAAAATTATGAAAAAGAATTTTTCCTCAAAATACGTAACCTCTCCCTTTTCTATAAAATTCTCAATCACAACTTGACAAACATATGCAGTTTGTTGTTCAGTGATTCTGACCTCAGAAAACGAAACAAATCCTTACAGACAGTCACTACATGTTCCACTAATATTTATTATTTCACTTCTTGCCAGTTTATTCTGTAAACTTCCCTTACATCCGCATGCGGTCGGCCATTATTTACGACGATCTCAAACAAAACAAACAGCGGGATCCTTCAATACAAACATTTCCCGTCTCTAGTTACAGTTTCCCCTACCTCTACAACCTTACACATTAAATCAAGACTTCAATGAATATGTATGCTATCAAAAACTAAAAACTGTTTTCATTAGAAATCGACACAACGATGTAACCTCAAAAGGACAGCTGCCTGGCTCTTACTTCCACATGACGAAAGAAGAAAGACACAAGAACGACAGCTGACAATAAAGGAACATTCCATTATCGTAATCCGATACTGAGAAGCCGCACCAGTGAATGTCGCTATGAAAACGAACACTGCATTTGGGTGAAATGGCCGGATCAATCATAATTTTGAACTGGTGGATGCCCTCAAGAAGACGGAACATTATTTTTGTTGTTGTTGTTGTTGTTATTATTATTATTATTATTATTATTATTATTGTGTGCATTCGGTATAGCGACTGGCTGCGGGCTGGACGACCAAGGGGTAGGAGTTCGAGTCCCGCTGGGGGCAAGAATTTTCACTTCTCCATGTCGTTCAGACAGGCTCTGGGGCCCAATGGGTACTGGGGGCTATTTCCCCGGTGTAAAGCGGCTGGTGCGTGAAGCTGACCATTTACCTCCAACTAGTGCCGAGGTCAAGAGAACGTGGGTCTATACACCCACTCCCCCATACGCCTTCATGGTGTAGTGCTTAATTA